TAAATGCAAAAATACAGATCAAATTAAGCAAATAATTTCTTAATAAAATCAATTGAATGAAAAAATATATCAAGTCGATCTTCATACATTTGGTAATTAGTGATCATTTGATGGAGAGGGGATGCTGCAAGAATATTAGTACGAGCAGTTGGCAACTGCAATACGGAACTCGATCTAGAGTTTAATCTAGGAACGCGATATAAAATTTGAGACACCAGAGAAGGCGCATTCAGGGAATTGTTGACGATATTGTGCAGAAAGATCAGAGAGTGCATAATGCGCCTCCGCTGCAAACTAATTAAGTCGAAAGTGGACAACAAAATATCCTCTGGAATGCCACGAACCGGATAGATACCAAAACTGATAAAATGCAATGTCTTCACGTATCTCCGCTGTACTTTCTCCAACTGAGTTATATGAATGTTATAAATTGGGCTCCACACAATAGAGGCATACTCAAGCTTACAGCGAACAAAACAATTGAACAGTGTGTATTCAATGTACGCGTGTTGCGAAAATCCTTAGAATTACGCAAGATAAAACCCAGGTTTTTAAATGCAGATTCAGTTATTGCTTGAATATGCGCGTCAAATGATAGATTACCACAAAATGTCACGCCAAGGTCATTGAATTGCGAGACTCTATTTAAAATAGTATTATCTAGAAGGTAATCAAAATGTAGAACATTTTTCCGGCGGCTATAGGACATAATATTACATTTACTGATGTTTAAAGGTAAATGATTGTCCTGACACCAACGGTGTAATTTAGTTAAGTTATCCTGTAATCTATAACAATCAGATATTGACATAATCTCAATAAACAATTTAAGGTCATCCGCATACATTAGATAATTAATGTCAAATAGTTCAGTTAAATCATTCATGAATATAATAAAAAATAAGGGCCCCAGTATGGACCCCTGAGGAACGCCTGATAATTGCGGAAACTTATCTCATTGGAAGCCTCGATATTGAACAAATTGAAAACGGTTGGCAAAGTAGGAGCGAAACACATTTAAGAGATCATCAGATACACCCACTGAATGTAATTTATAAATCAGCAAATCATGGTTAAGGTGATCAAATCCCTTCGAAAAGTCAGTATATATCACGTCCACCTGACCACCCCTATCCAGCACCTCGGAAATATATTGTACCTTGTTGGCTAAGTTTGTCGTCGTTGATCGTCCCTTAACAAAACCATGCTGAAATTGAGATATATATTTTTCCACATGAGAGTACAAGTGATTGTGAATGACTAATTCGAAAATTTTTGAAAAATTAGAGTTACCTTTAATTTTTTTGATGGCACGTATAATATCATCTTCAGATATTTCAGGAATGCGTAGTAAGTCATGATTTACAATATTATCACAGTTGGACAAAGGAGCAGAACTCCTACTAAAAGCCTTCGAAAAATAGTCAGCAAATGCATTCACTACATCTGAGGGATCATCCAACATTATGTCATTATAACTCATGTATGAGGGAACAGACGTAGTATTTGCTTTAGCGCCAATATATGACCAGAAACGTCTTAGATTTACACATAAGTCTTCTTCAATTGATACCAAATAGTCCCTATAGGATAAATGAAGAGTTCCTAATATCATGGCTAAAAAAATAATAAGCAAGCCGGAAAAGTGAAAGCTTTTTACTATTAGTACAGAAATATGGAATATTTTTCCAACGATGAAGAATTTTCCTTAGGTTACTACAATGATATTGTTGGATGAATTACTTCAAACATGGATGTTCTAACGCACATTGAAACAAGAGTGCCGTAATTTGAAGATAGTCTTACATATAATCAAATACGAACAACATAAATGGCTCTACATTTGACCTTGAACTGAACTTAAACCAGATCTGATCGAGTCAAACGGTTACCGGATTCGGATTCAGCGACTCCAAAAACGTACAGATACGTAGGTTTAGTTTGTTGACAATTGATTTTCTACATTTGATCTTGAACTGAACATAAACTAGAACTAATCGCATCAAACGAACACCGGATTCGGATTCAGCGACCCCAATACCATATGGATACCATGGTCTTGTCTTTCGGACCTGCCACTTTTTTTTTTGAGGGGCTGTATAATTTACAGGCTACTTTGATTGAAATAAGAAATAGTATTTTTTTAAATGCTTGTAACTTATAAATAAAAACGAATGGGGCTTATATCCATATAAGAAAAAATGTTTGAAATTAATCCAGCTACCATCTGTCAAAATTTTGTCATAGCGTTTGTAGAACACCCTTTATAAATTTTAAAACTATATTCTCGTCAATTTTTTTTTAATGATAGTAATAAAAAACACCAATTACTATAAATTAATAAAAGGCAAACACATTTCTTTACGTGATATTATTTATTAACCTGAAAATTAAGCTTTATTGTGTTTTATAACGAGACGTCCTGATTCGGTAAGGTAATCCTCTTGGCAGACATTTTCGGCCGTTGTTCCCGGAATCAAAGCTGCTGCCCCTTCATCTTTGTCGGATATAGCGAAGTTTACATACGACAGACCGTACTCGTCCATAAAACTGTACCACAACTCAGCTTCAGCTTCATCAACTGGTGGGCTAGCGTCGGCATTTACAGTACCATACTCTGTTACAAAAACTGGAAGTCCAGCATCGATGGCATTCTTAGCAATTTCTCGGTTATATTCCTTCTGCGTACCAGCGTAGAAGTGTAGGGAATACATGATATTAGTTTGATTGACGATAGGATCCGCCACGGCGAGGTCCAAACGTGTGGAATAGTTTGGAACCCCAACAACAATCACATTGTTTGGATCGTTAGCGCGGATAGTTTTGATTACAGCTTCATGGTAGGGCTTTACGAGACTGGACCATTCCAAGGTGATGGGTTCGTTGTAGGGTTCGTAGATGATGTTGGGGTAGCTGCCGTATTTCTTTGACAGCCTATCGAAGAAGCGAAGCGACGCTTCCAAGTGGTTTTCGGCTTCAAAGTCCTGCCAGTCGATAAGGACGTAGATGTCGTCTTCAATGGCAGCATCTATAACTGCATCTACTAGGGCATCTTCGTAGTCGGGATCTGTCAAGTACCCTCCGCTAACGGTGTCCACTGTGACCATTGGCCTTACTATGTTGGAATGACAGTAGTTCTTAATTCCGTCAACTGTTGTTTTGTTGTAGAAGTAGGGCATCCAGATGCTCCAGAACAGTCCCATTCCTTTTAGTTGCACTTTCTCGCCATTCTGGTTTACCAGGTTGGCACCGTTAACTGACAATTGACCATGTTTGCTCACCGGTTCGTACAAGGCGTCTTTTCCAAACGCGGTGTCCACCCATAAGCTTGCAACGAGCAAAGACACAAACAGTAGGAAAAATCTCATTGCACCAAATGTTGTGTTTTAACGAGAACAGAAAAACTACAACTGGAAATTTGACTTTGGATATTATTTTAAATCAACGTTTCTTATCTCATTCAGGTAATCACTCTGTAGTGCAAATTTGAAGTGATTTGTTTAAAGATACATCGAAATTTAATTATTAGTAAAGTAGTTAGTTATTATCTAAAGTAATTTCCACATCTTTTTTATAAAATTATTATCACGTTTACATACATTATACACTACTTGGATTTCTCGTGTTTCGACATAATATTTAATGTTTACCTTTACAGCATATCTACTAAATTTAATCTGTACTACCTTGTAATACATAATAACGAACTATATCATAGCCTGCTCTGATCTAAAACCAATGTTATTTCACCTGATGGCAGATGGTGCTTTGTATGATTTACAGATCTGAATACGCTCATAAAAATTTTATATATTCCACTAACCAGATAATTCCAAAACCAAACGGTGCACTATTTCTGGTTGATACGATTTTGTTCAAATTGTATTGGAATTTGCAACTAGCACAGCTAACGACATCATAATGTCTAATTAATACATTAATAGATATCATCTGATAAATTCAAGCCATGACACCAGATCGTTATTGTAAACTACATTGTGGGATTATAAAGCGTAGGGAAACAATATAATCTTTGGTGGTTCAACTTAAAAATAATACATTAATATTTTTTGGCGCCTTTGAATTAATCTAAAAATAATTTTTTTTGGTATCACCTATTACTTATACATTAGATATTTGTGGACAGATTGATGTAGTTTTCATGAATAGCCTTTGACAGATTAGATCACGTGGTAGCTTATCAAATTTTGGTATCTTGATGTAAATTTGTCAGTCTTATATTTCCAACAGATTTCAGAAAGTTCATTATCGTGGTTCTACTTTACTGAAATTGTTCCTACTTCTGAAGTAACTCAGGATTCAAGTTTTTAATCCGCTGTTATTTAATGTGTCCATTAATGATGATCTTATAAGTAGTATTCTTTTATATGCAGATATCTCAAACTGTTCACCCTTGTTACATCTGTTGAAAACTGTTTTGTGAACTAAAAATGTGTGTCAAGAGTGCATGAGGTGTTTCAAAATAATAAATTGCCGCTGAACATGTCAAAATATTGGATTATGAAAAGGAAAATATTGGAATAAATATTGTTTAATCAAAATTAACATTTATTAATTACATTATATCTGGTTCTAACAAAAGTCTTGGTTTCATTATAAGGAGGCTAAATATCTTAAAGAAGTTTCCATACTCTTTTTGCCTTTATTTGTTAAAACCTTAAGTTACCCGTAAGGTTAGCGTATATTTAAATAAAAATGTTATAGAAATATGTGGAAGAATATAGATAAGAAATATACAGGGTGATTCACTTTTTATGATTAGGTCTTTAACCATCGACAGATCTTGTCAAAATAATGTCTTTCTAATTTCAAATATACAATTTTTCTTCCAGAGACTTCCTTTTAGAAATATAAGCTCTTGAGATAAAATTTTTTTTTGGATTTTTTTTTTCTTGAACTATGAAAGTTATTTGTTTTATATTTAGTATGAAGTGTACGAATGAAAAGCTCTACCGATTTTACAAATTATTGTGAAAATAAATCTAGCATAGGCGTCCGTAAAGGGCTCTGGTAACCCTCTGGTATTTTTAATGTAATTTGTACGCCACTGGAAATTTTTCAAAATTAATATATTTTTTTACATTGCGGTTTATTCTACAGCAAAAAGGTATCTTACTAGTTTTAAATGAAATGCTTGGTGTTTGAGAAAAATGGCTTCTTATGGATTCATTACATGTGAAATGGTTTAGTTTTTTAAGTAATACAGAATAAAATATTTAATATTGAGGAACAAACTGAAATAACAATTAACAATACAGAAATGTTCGAAATATTGTCCTCGAACCTCGATGCATTTCTCACATTGCCTAATTAAGCTATGAACTGCTCTCCTAATCATATTGGGCATGTGTAGAGTTTCGCAATTATTTTCAATTCTTCTTCTTAACCTTTGAAGAATGCACATATTTCTTCTTAGAAGTAATCGTAAGTCGTCGAGTAGAATATTTAAATCTTTTTTGTTTGAAAAACCTAATCATTCCGCATGTAATGAATTCATAGGAAACCATTTTTTTCAAAAACAAAGTATTTCATTTAAAAATAGTAAGAGACCTTTTTACTATAGAATAATCCACAATGTAAAATAAATATATTTATTTTGAAAAATTTCCAGTGGCGTAGAAATTATATTAAAAATACGGACGCCTATGATTCTCACAATAATTTGTAAAATCGATAGAGCTTTTCATTCGAACACTTCATACTAAATATAAAACAAATGGCTTTCATAGTTTAAAAAAAATAAATAGAAATTAAAAAAAAATGTTTCTTCAAGAGCATATATTTCCAAAAGGAAGCTCTTAGAAGAAAATGTGTATATCTTAAAATGACATTATTTCGAGATCTATCAAAGGTTAAAGTTATAATCATAAAAAGTGAATCACCCTGTATACAAATACAGTCAACTATATCGATACTAGTAATTGAATTTAAATTTTCTGATAGGCCAATAGATTCATTAAGCTATGCTTGTACGGAGGATTGGCACCCTCTGTGCAGGTATGGTAGGGTGGAAGAAGGTTGGCTTGGGACAATGTGAGAGATTGACACCGGTTGGCATTTGACCACCCCCCTAATTAATGAGGTTTTCCAGGTTTCCCTCATTCCTGCACTGAATGGTGGTTAGGGCCTACCAACATAAGTCGTTCCTGGGCGCAAATGCGGCCTGCCTAATAATAATATACCGCCTCCTCTCCCGCACAAGTCTCCGACTTAACCAATCACTTTTAACTGTTAATAATCTGAAATTTGGATCCCAACTTAATGTTACACAGATGTCATTGCTTAATATTTCTTCCAAGTGCCATGTCTGTATCGAGCAAATTATACACATTCTTAAATACTGAAGAATGAAATTTATGAATATTTGAAACAGAAATTCAAATATTTTTTGATATATCTATTGGGCATATTCAACAAGTCGTTCAGCACAAAACATCGAACCCGTTCATGCTTACAAAGTTCAATTGACTCAAGAACTGAAGTATACTGACCACGCGCAGGAAACAGAGTTCGTTGATCATGGAACAAAAAGTGGATGCTGATTTTTCATTCAAAATCATCTTCAACTATGAGGCCCTTTTTGATCTTGATGGCTTTGTTAATCGACAGAATTATCGCATTTGGGGTCTCAGAAAATCAGCGAGTGATTGTTGAGAAACAAAGGCATCCAAAACGAGTCATTATCGGACCATTCTTTTTCGAAAATGCGGCTGCTCAGGCTATAACAGTTAATGGTGCTCGCTATCGCGACATGATAATCCAGTTTTTGTGGATTCAACAAGACTGTGGCATATGCCACACAGCTCGAGAAACAATTCATTCACTGCATCAGTCGTTTCCTGGTCGTGTCATTTCCCGTTTTGGTGGTCAGAATCGGCTACCCAGATTATGCGATTTAATGCCGTTGGACTTTTTTCTAGTCTAAAGTTTATGCCAACAAGCCCGCGACCACCCACGCCTTGAAAAATTTCTTACAAAAGAGTGTGTATGTGTCAGCAAAAATCATATTCTGTATATTTTATGAATCAATAAAAAATTTACAATTTTTAATTAAAACCTGTGTTTTCTATCAGAATTACTGAAGTTTGGCAGGCCCATTATATGATGTTGTTCAATATCGAACTTTTTTATATTTCCAGAGTGTTACGTACTTATACATCAAAGATTCCGAGATGAGTAGTCGGCTGATGTTAAAAAAATACAAAATAATTTCAAGTAGGTGCCGCAATGGTGATTAATAAGCTAAATTTAGTAGCACTCAAAAAAATGTTTGCCCAGATCGTGTTTTACGTCACACATTATAATTTTATACTCAAGGGTGCCGTTTAGATTTATCGCCCACTTTAGATTTAAGTGGAGTCGATTTCACAGTGCATTGTTGCCAATTTTGTGGCGGTTGATGGAAAAACAATTGCATGTAGTTGTTACAATCACTTGATTTCCTAGAAATTGTTTAAAATTTTAGAAATAATCCAAATAAAGTCTCATTTTAATCATCTTAAATCTAAAGTTCATGATATATTACTTCAAAGCAATAATTAAGCTGAACAGTGTTAAAATTTTTAAGGCCTAAAAATATATTTTGTGACAGCGACACTTGTAAAACGAGTTCTCGCTGACATATTGCAAATTGTGTACTGGATTTTGCTTCAACCATTTCGTGGAGCGGATTTGTTAATCTAAATGAATTGTTAAACTTTGTATTAGTTCAGAATAATAAACGTGGCGACAGCCTGCAGACGAAATTGAAACAAAGTAATTTTGAGCAATGTCATAGCTAGACTTTAAAAATATATTTACCACACTTAATTTACTGCTCATTTCAATAACTCTAACTTCAATCGATTTAATGTAGATAGGCTGTTACAAATTCGCTTCTTACTTCGGTAAGAGGTATGCAGTAGCTTAAATGGGGGCAAAGTTGCGTAATCAGGGAACCAATATTATGCCTATAAAATCAAGGCTAACTTGATTAGTTTTCGAAATATTTGAAAAAAAAACCGAAATTTTGGAAATAAGTTTTTGTTTCATTTCAGCCTTGTTTGAGGTGATATTGAAAAAAAAAAACACTTTCTCATGGCCACTTTTTGCCCTCTATCGAATGGCATTATCAATTTTTATATCTAACGTTTTGTCTCTCCAGGACCATTACCAACTTAATTTTTTTAAATACGACCCTAGAAATTTTATTACATTTTTTGCAAGCCTTCATGACTCCCAGTATTGTATTGCCTCAGCCCAAACCAGATTCAGACGTTTTGTCTCGAAAAATTCATCTTCAGTGTATTCGTTCCAAATTTATCTAATTTTTTTATTTAGATTTCTTTGTTTATTGAATTATCGAACACTGTAAGTGTCGTTAGACCCTGTGAAATCCATCTAGTTATTTAAACTATTACCACTACGCATGAAAC